GATTGGAAGAAGAATCCGCATCCGCATCGTTGCGGTCAGCTATGGAGGAGCGAATTCCCTCGCTACCTCCATGGACGACAAACGCATTTCCTTTGTTAAGGAATTTCTCAGCAGAATAGTGGTGGACTGAGGCGTGAATGCAGAGGGAGGAAGCACATAGTAGGAGAGTGAAGGAAAGCAGTACCTGATTAGAACCGCAAGAAAAAGACATGGATTCTAGTCCAAGCTACCAAGGAATGAAGCTTGGAAACCCTAAATTGGAAGAGAGAAGAAGATTGACAGCAGCAAGAACGTGGATCTGCCAGATTCTTGCTTGCTTGTCGTAGAGAGTGAGAGCGAGATCTGTGACTGTGTCGCTTCTTCTGTGGAAAAGAACGAAGCTTAGAAGCTTAGAAGCTGGACTATAATTTCATTTTTATATTTAATTAATTGGATATTTGGAATTTTGTGCAGAGAGTCAAAATGTGGAAGGACACGTGTGCGTGTTGGGGCCGCTTGATTAGATTCCCCCTTTGCCTTTTCTGAGCCGTCAGATTTACTTGGGAATTTGGCTGGCTCCGTCCGAGTTAGTTACGGTGCATAACAATAAAACCAAATAATGTAGGGCGCCATTTATGTTCCTTGAACTAAAATGTAAATGTGAGGGACCAAAAATAAATTTCTTCTTTTATCAGTTAAATCGGGTCAAATGCGGGAATTATATTATTCGTTCCCGTTGCCACCCAGGTCCCACAGGAATCAATGAGGAATCGGGGCGAAATACGGAAATTATATTATTCGTTTCTGTCCTTACCCACGTCCCACAAATGAAAAATAAGAAAGAAAGTGAAAAGAGATTTTCTTCTTATCAGCTAAGCGGAGCAAAAGACGAAAATTATATTATCTGTTCCCGTCCCCACCCACATTCCACAAGAATGAACGAGAAAATTTGTGGGAAAGCGATTGAAATAAGAGATAAGGATATGTTTCTAGAATGCTCTATGGACATCTCTACTTTTACGTCGACAATATGGTCTCTCGAGAAGAACTTCAACTAATAGTTTCAAAGCCTATAACTCTAACAAAGTTGAGCTTGTAAGAGGTGTTCCGAGATTTCATCATCAATAAGACATATTATGTTGAAATTTTAAACATATTCTCAGAATTTCAGACATATCCAATTTCATCCACTTAGGTAATACAAATAAAAGTATAATTATTTACTAAGAAGCCACCCACAGACCTAGACCTTGCCAATGGTGCCACCCTGAATGGCTCATGCTATCTATGTTCTTAATAAGATGATGGCTCAGGCTATCTATGTTCTTAATAAGATGGAAGCACGATACCCAAATTTAGCTGAAATTAAAGAAGCTTCCGCGGTGAATGTCTCAGTACATAATTCAACGAGGAATAAGGAAATATAAATAGTCATTATAAGTTCTTCTACCATAAGTGGAGCGGATTGAGATTATTTAAGCTCCGATATAAATAGTCATTATCAGCTCTTCTACTGTAAGTGGAGTTGATTGGGATTATTTGAGCTCCGGTATAAATAGTCATTATCAATTCTTCTACCATAAGTACCGTAAGTGGAGCTGAACTCAATCGTTGACCTATTGCCAGCAGAGGATTAAGAGGAAAGGGTTTTTATTTATCGAATGAAATATTACACGAGAAAATTGAAGTTCATAACATAATGTTTAAGATTGTAGACACCAAAAATAGGCTCTGAATTGTCTAATAACAGAACCAACATGTGAGCAGAGATTCACTTACAAACAAGAAAGCTAAGCTAACAAATTCAAGCTTTTGAAACAGCGATTATCAGTCCAGATCAAGGAACTCAAGCCTTTTCCTAATTGTACCTTTAAGATCTGTAGCCTCTCTCTCTGCCTTTTGGGCCTGTAAAAACATGTTCTACTTTGTAAATGGCAACAACATTTATATGCAGCTACACAAGCAAATGGTGTATGCTAGTTTCCAACAGATATCACCAAGAACACAGAAGACTAATTTCAGAGTTGGCACACCACTTACCCTTTTGATCTCCACAGCAGAGACATGAGTCATGTGTGGAGGGAGCTCCTCCTTCTCCAAATCCTATCGAGTCCAAAACAAAATTTTTAAGAGGTGGGAAGGAAAATAATAAAGGAAACCAAGAAAATCTAAGATTCATCCTACCAGCTCGCCAAGTAAAACAACGTTCTCCCCTCGAATTACGTAGAGGCCTAGAGGAATATCGCTGTAAAGGTCACCGACGATCACCCTTTCACAGGATCCTTCAAGAACGGCATTTGCTGAATACAGAAACAGTTAGTTCTTCAGGCTCCGGGAACATGTTAACACGATGAAGTATAAAATGAGATAACGTTTCGAAAAGAACTATACCAAATTGATCGAATGAACGGAGTATCCCTAATAGCTTCCGTCCATCTCGAAGGAGTACCAGAACCTTCTCTAAAGATTGAAATTATCATTAGAACAGCAACAACTCCACAAATGTAAGAGAACAAAATAGAGATGCATGATTAAGCTAAATAATTGTAACTATAACTAGCATGCTCAAATTCCTAAACCATCATGCCATGAGGAGAAACACTAGCTTTCTCAATCCTTCTCCATACAATTTAAAGATTACAAACATGCTGAAACCTCTAAATAATATGGTTTTCTGGCTTTCTCCAATCATGCAATTGGTGGAAAAACTAATGCAATCTCTTACTCCGTTCTCAATTCTTTTACAGAGCTCTATACCCAAACAATCATTCAGAAGGAAGTCAGCTGTACAACAGCCATACAGCATTTAGTACGAGGAAGACCCGTGCTGATTGTTACACTAGCTCATTGCTAAAATACTATCAACACAGGGCAAAGGTAAATTATCTACTATCCTCTAAGATTCTCCCGTATCGTGTCAAATCAAAGTTGAAACGAACATTTTCAAGGCAGAGTTAGACAATTGCATATGGTGATAGGCGAGGCGAGACGAGTCACCTATGCCACCAGTTGACCATGGCAGCTCTTTCAAAGAGGTGTCACATTGGTCATATCTTGGATACATTGGAGAAAAAGCTAATATTCATATTTAAGTACAATCTCACGGAGATGTACTCTTCTTATCCATTATCTCCGGAAAGGACGAGGGAACGAAAGCAATTCATCAAATAAAAACATATTTGTGCTAAATTCTCTTCGAAGTGGACTTAGACTCGAATGAATTCTTTTACATTGCTAAAATGTTCCCCAGAAAATATAAATTGATGCTCATTCATGTATTTCAAGCCAAACAGTATCATGATTTATTCTCATATGTCTATATACCGTACTGATTTTAGAAAAATAAGCTTCAAATCAAGGTAAACAAAAAAATTGGTTGAATATATCATAATTTCTTAAGGAATTGCATATCAACAAACAGATCCCGATAATCGCAATCAGCAAGGTCTCCGTAGGGTTACAGCATTACACTTGAAAAACAACGATCAAGTCAGAAAGCATTATCAATCAAAGAGTTGCGATACAGAACAAATTGACAGGAAAACCCTATGATGATCAAGAGCCAAATATCACATTTCACAAAATAGCAAAACACACGAATCCAGTAGCACTAAACTTCAAATAAAGAAAAACGCGTATTGATTTCTAATTTCCCGTTTATCTGACAAACAAAACAGAAGAATCGATAGAGAAGCAACATACTGTCAAGGTAATTGGCAAGAGAAGTTGAAAGGTAGATATCTTCCGCGCTTGCCCAAGACATTGGCGAACTCCAACACTTGTCCGGTAGAAATAATAATAAAAATAATCACCGAAAATTTCCTTCAACTAAAAACGAAATCAATAGCATTGGCTGCCTAGATTCCCAGGCAATCCCTCAAAATCCTTGGAGAATTTCCTCAAAGACCCTGTCTTCACGTTCCAGAAAGTTCCTCGAAACTGGAAACAAAGGATTGAAGGACGAAATTTGCGGTCTGATTAAGAACAAGAAAATGCAAACAGAAACAAAACGAATCGAAAAGGGAAAAGAAGCGCTCAGATCCAATTCAATTCGAAGCGTAAAAGAGAAGGAGAAATTGAAGAAGAAAAATTGAAAAAGAGTTAGGGCTTGGTGAGAGACGGCCTTAAACGTGGCGGAAGCCCGGAAGATTGAAGCTCCAGCTGCTGTGTTGGTCTGGTTTCGAGTTTGTACTTAGTATTTTAGATTCATCTCAATACTTCCAATATGTAGGGCTTTTATTATTATTTATGGGTTAAATTATCCAAAATATTCTTAAATTTTGTATTTTAATATTTTTAGATTTTAGATGAAAATTATCAATATTTTGTTTTAAAAGTTTAAAATAAAATACAAAAATACTTTTATTATTAATATTAAGTTTTAAAAATATATCTCAAAATTTAAAAGTAGCCTTTAACACCATTTAAGTTTATTCCAATGGAGACAGTATTCTTTGATTATAAACTCATGATCATTCTCTAAATTAACCGATGTGGAACTTTCATCATCCAACACCTCCCCTCGAACAAAGTACGCCTCCCCTTAATCGAGGCTCGACTCCTTTTCTTTTAGAGTCATTAGTTCGAAATTTGAGAATTTACCAATCTATTGGCACGACTAAGTTTAAGGCATGGGTCTGATACCATGTTAGACGAATACAGAATGGTATGATATTGTCCACTTTGAGTATTACCTCTCATGACTTTGGTTTGGACTTCCCAAAAAGGACTCATACCAATGGGGAAATTATTCTTTATTATAAACCCATGATCATTCCCCTAATTAGCTGAAGTGAGAGTTTCATCATCCAACAAGTTGCTCAGGTCCGGAATTCAACCAACCTGAAATTTGGAGTCGGTCAAAATCATTTCTCCAACATAACTTGTGTGTCCCTATGCTTAGCGGCCAACTATGATATAAATGTTTCTAACACTTAAGTCATTAATATACTTAAAACTAGTTTGAGCTACACATTCATATACATATAGTTAGCCAAACAGTCAATGCGACAGAGCCCGACAACATTGTCTTGGAAACTTTATTACAATACAAAATGTTATTTGCCTCAAGTATGTTACAAAGGGAGCCCCCAACAACAACATCGAAGAAGAATTATGCAGCAAATTAAAGTGAAAAAAATGCAACTCTCTGTTCATCACATGAACACTTTTTTGACGATGTTTCAAAACATGAGTTGCTCTGTTTCCATAACATACAACCATGAAAAAAATGTAATCACCGTTAATAAGATGTTTTGATGTGATGAACAACATCCCCACCGTTCGATCCGTATCAAGATAAAGGGTGGAGATTGAATATCTGGAGAAGTCATGAATTTGAAGATTAGTCATTGATGTGTAAAATGAAATGAAACATAGTGAAGATAGTGAGTAAGGAGTTGTTGTTACCTTCTTCAAATCAGTTAGATGGAAGATTGATTAGGAAAGGAGACGGGATTATATCTCGAGAACGATATCTGTAATTGTGAAAAAAAGACGGGTTGTTAGAAAAGGCTAGATCTATTTTGACCCGTTACGAGGTTTTAAAATGCGTCTATTATGGAGAGATTTCCACACCCTTATAAGGTTATGCTTTGTTCCCCTCTCGAACCGATGTGAGATCTTACAATCCACTCTCCTTTGTGGGGTCCAACGAGGATGACACACCGCTTAGTGACTGGTTTTAATACCATTTGTAACAGCCCAAGCCTACCACTAACAGATATCGTCCACTTTGACCCGTTACGTATCGTCGGTAGGGAGAGGTTTCCACACCTGTATAAGGTATGCTTCGTTCTCCTCTCCAACTGTAACGACCCAGATCCACCGCTAGCAGATATTGTCTTCTTTGGGCTTCCCCTCAAGACTTTAAACGCGTATGCTAGGAGAAGGTATCCACACCCTTATAAATATGCTAGAGGACGGTAGTGGTGTTTTGTTTTCCTCCCAAACCAATATGGGATAGGATCTCACAATCCACTTTCCTTAGAGACCCAGCGTCCTCACTGACACACTGCTCAGTGACCGACTTTGATACCATTTACAACAGCCCAAGCCCACCACTAACAGAGATTATCCGTTTTGACCCGTTAGATATCGTTACCAGCCACACGATTTTAAAAAGTTTAAGAACTTACACTCGGAATCAGTCTTGTCCCATTTGGATCCATCTTTGGCATCTTTTTTCTGCTCTTCTTCATCGTTTCTGTTTTTTGGTGACGGCTTTTCCTCTATGTACCTCTTCAACGATGAAGATCGAGAGGCGTGTTGTGGGGAGATTTTTTTTTGGAGAATTGTTCTTAAAAGCTGCCATTGAAATGAAAAGAACATCGGATATTAATGTTAGCTAGCAAATATTGTTTTCTTTGGGCTTTCCCTTTCGCGCTTCCCGTTAAGGCTTTAAAACGCGTCTGCTAGAGGAAGGTTTCCACACCCTTATAAATGGTGGTTCGTTCTCCTCCCCCAACAATGTGGGACATCACAAATAACAAATATACACAAAAATTACGTACCTTTTCCATTCTAGACTCTTGAAGAGTTTCTCTCAAACTTGGTGGTGGTAAAGGAGTGAAGCCATTACTACAAACAAACAACTTTTTGAGCAGAAAAGAGATGGATTTCTTCCCAATAGCTTTCTTTTTACCATCAGCCCAAATGTCTTTGCATTTGCCAATGATAAGACCAATGGTTCTTTCAATATCTTCATCTTTATCATCTGAATCACTGCAAAGTGGATTGCTGATTCTCCTGTCGACCTCCAAGCTTGAGGGACAGTTGAGAAATCTATCCAATGGAAGATCTGCAACCTGCTTTTCGGCGTTCGGTTTTCGAGATAAAAGCTTTGTTAACTCTTTCTGTAATTTACCAACTTCTTCAGGAGAGATATCAACTATCTGTTCTGAAGAAGATGGATCCTCCTCCTCTTGTATGTCTTGTTCATCTTTAATATCATTGTTGCCAAAAGTTCCAATTGCTAGCAATCCATGAGGCCAATCGCTGAACTCTTCACGAGATTCTTGTTTTTTATGCTCTGCAAAGTTGGAGAAGGAAGCTATTCAATTAGTACACAACTAAGTATCAAGTGTTACGTCAAAATGTGATGTTAAATGTTCAGAATCCTTCCATCACGTTGATTTGTACACATGAAATGGACAAACAAAGGGAGGAAAATTTTGGGATTTTAAAGGGTCGAGGGAACAACGCACGTGGACCCAAGTTTGCAGGTTGGTGATTTGGGTTACCTTTTGAATCATGTCCCCATTTGCATTGGGATCTTGATCCAGCTAACTAAATTTTGGATCCAACCAAAACCATTTCAGTAAATCGATTCTCCACGCGACTCTTTGTTGGATGATGAAAGTCCCACGTTAGGGGAATGATCATAGGTTTATAAACAAAGAATACTCTGTCCATTGGCTCGAGACCTTTTGGGGAAGCCCAAAGCAAAGGCATGAGAGCTTAGGCTCAAAGTGGACAATATCATACCATTGTGGATGAAGAGTCGTGTTAGATTACAAGTGTTCGACTCTGTCCTATCAGCTACTACCACTTCTAGACACCAGATTGGAAAAGAGAGAAAAGCTTACGAGAAGTAGAGAATGTATGTGGGATGTTCTTCTTCTTCTCCTCCTGTTTGCCGTTTAGTTTAGTCTGCATCCAGCTGAAGAACTGCATTGAACTACACAAGATGAATGCCAGAACAGAACAAGAAGAGAACAATGAACCAAGTAAAAACAAGCTCACCTTCATCTTCAACTAACAACACCAAAACTTGAAGGTGGTTGATCTTAAAAGCCACTGGGGGGAGTACTGGGAAGATGAAAAAACGTGAAGAAATTAGGCAAGTTTGATGCTGGAGCTTGGGCAGTGACAGCAAGTAAGAGTTGGTTCAAGTTCCCAAACAGAGGTCTGTGATACGATCAGTGCCGTGTCTAGACCCTCCACTCCTGAAACTAATGGCTGATTCTTCCTCTTATACAACTCAAAATGCACACACACCACTAGCATGAAGAACATTCTCTAAACAATTGAATAATTTAATTTCCTGTAATTTGAAAACACTACAAAAGGAGGATTCTGCGGGTTCAATTCTGGAACATCCTCTATACAACCGACCGTGTCATAATTTGATCCGTCGGATCTTGAGATGCAAATCCTAAGACAACTGCTAACTACAAAAGGTGTTGTTGATCCCTATACGTCTTTAATCTAATGGCAATGACACTTACACGAGGTGGGAATTCAATATTCACCCTCATTGTTCCAATAATACATCTTTTTTAACATTATAGATCATACTTCAATCTTCATTTATATTCACAGCTACCACTAATACGAAAAATATAAACTAACTAAATCTTGAAAGAATAAAATAAAATATACTACCAATGAAAAAAGATATATTTTATAACTAATATATTCTCTCAATATTAATTGATTATGGGTTTATAAGTGAGGAATATAATCTCAATTGATATGAGACGTTTTGGGGAAGCTCAAAGCAAAGCCATGAGAGGTTATACTCAAAGTGAACAATATCATACCAAATCGTGATTCCTAACATTTGGTACATTTTGTTTTACGGAGAAATTGATAATATTACATTCTTTACCCTTTTCCTAAGAAATCCTAAGAAGTCTATCTCATGCCTCATGGATGAACAATTATAGCACAATTTTCTGAAAATTGGTCGAAGTTAAGGCTTCCTTATTTGGAAATACCAAAAAGATCCAGCCCAAGAAATTATTTTTTAATTTCCAAGTAGGGTTCATCTAGATGGATGCATCCTCTAAATTTATTATATTTGGATCTTTATTTTATTTTCTAATGTTTTTAATATTCTATGTTAGTAGATCATTTTAATAAAAATATCTAAATTGGATTTGGTTATCCAAATAAAGTTCCAATCAAACCCAATTCAAATCTTTATTTTTTTTAATTATTTAAAAAAATTATATTTATAGGTACGGTATAACTAAACTATCATCAAATCCAAATATCAAATGTTATACTACGCCATTAAAATCAATTATAAACCTCAAATATTCTTAAACTTAATAATATTCTTAAAAGTAGAATAAGACCTCCAAAACAATCCAAATTTTCAATTTTTTAAAAATTCAACCCAACTTAAATTATATATATAAAAAAAAAAATAAAAAAAATATAATCCAATTGAGTTGGGTAGTCTAGATTGATCAAATTCTCATTAGGCTCCGCTCATTAACTTTCCTCAAAATACATTTTTTTATAATTCAATACAAATAACATCGCACTTTTCAAGTTCATCTATTCCTATATATACTTACTTTCAAATTACTCTCAAAATTTATATAAATATTTTATTTCTTCAGTACCAATTAACCTAATCTTTCTCCTCTACCTCTCTCACGCACATTTTCCACCAAAATTTCAACACGTATACAAACTGTCACAAATTATTCTTTAAAAACTTAAGACAATTTCTATTCTCTTTCACACATTTTCCTTGATAATTTCTCTCCGTCATACATGATACGCCACAATTTTGTAATTAATCTTTTACCCAAACACATTTTCTTTGCTAACCATATGAACAATTGATAATTATATTTCTGTCATGTCCCACACATTGGTTGGCGAAGAAAACAAAACACCATTTATAAAGGTTTGGAAATCTTAACCTAAAAAATGTGTTTTAAGGCCTTGAGGGGAAGACCGAAAAGGATAGCTCAAAAAGGACAATATCTACTACCAGTGGATCTAAGCCGTTACAATTACATTATCAAGGATTTGTATACAATTTCCCGAGCAAATAAGGTAATATAATAATACTTCTCCTCCCATCATTTCAATAATATTAGAATGTTACTCCTAAATTGTGTACGTTTAAAATACTTTAAAATTAGTGTTTTTTTTTTCTTAGTTTGAAATTAATTTTTATCAAACTTTAATAATAATCAAGAAAAAACACAATTGAATATGTTTCGTAAATTTAAAAAATAAATAACTAGCAGAGATTAATTTTTTCATAGAAAAGTTGGCAATAAACGAACCATAATACTAATTAGCATTTTGAAGATATATTGGAAAGAACTAAATTCAATAATTTGAAAGTACACACAAACTAAAATAACAAAAATGGTGTTTTATTTTGACCAATTAAAATTTAAAAAATAAGAAAATCCAGAAACCAACAGCAGCTAATGGAATATGATAGTTTACTACTGATCATGTCGACATGTTCCTTATTTCAACTATGTTTGTGTGTGCTTAACACATGTTCCTAAAGGCCGCATAAACCAAGCACCTCCAACCCAATATCTATCATAGAGAACCACCCACAGCAGAGTGCTTAAAGCCGGAGAGGAAAAGTGTAACGACCAGATCCACAGCTAGCAAATATTGTCTCTTTTGGACTTTTCCTTTCAGGTTTCTCCTCAAGGCTTTAAAACGCGCCGGTTAGGGAAAGGTTTCCACACCCTTATAAAGGGTATTTTGTTCTCCTCTCCAACCAATATGGAACATCACAAAAAGACAAGATAGTTGCTTATTGAGAGAGAAAAGAAAGAGTGTTGGGTCCTGAAAATTTTGGCCAAGTTGAGTCTGCTATATAAAGCACTACCATGTCCGTGTAGACACGGGTACTGGACTTGTCCCTTAAGTTATTACCTTTCACACATTGCTAGTCCAGTCGAGGAATGGAACCCTCTAATCGAAAACGGCCTAAGAAAAGAATTCTTTATAGGTCTACACAACAGAGGAATGAATGGAGTAACTCCTATCCTCATCAATAGAAATAGAAAGTGGTGTGTTCTCTTTCACAAGCCCTGTTTCTTATTTAATTCGTAGTATAGTTTTCAAGCTTCTCACTCCAATATAAATTTGACCAAACACAGCATCGCACTAGCAGTCTTATTGGCAATCTTTTAATGACTTAAATAACTGTACAGTAGCGCTAGGAACTGTTTTCAAATTTAGACAGTGAACCCAGATCAAAGCCCGAGAAACACCCAGCAAATGGCCAGTTTGAAACCTATTAGGCCACGTGTCACGACAAAGTTATTCACTCAGTCGTACCAACCGGGTGGATTGAAATATTGTAGCTTTAATCTTTCCTCGGAGCCTTTGCTCCTAAAAAGATGCCACAAACCAAGCCAACTCTCGGATCTCTACACCTTCTTTTCAACGGAAAGGGGAAAAGTAACAGTTACCTCTTTGAATACCAGCCACAAACTCATCTAACATCATAGAGTACTATCGTTTCTAATACCGATAATATCTTATACTAACCAAGAGGCTTTAAAAACCTTCACCACTGTTGTACTAACTTAATTAGTGCTTACATACTTGGTTTAAAACGCTCTATCGTGTCCCTCAAGTATTTCGTACAAATTCTTATATTAAAATTTTAGAAAGAAATACACTATCTAAACTAATTTAAACAACCTGGGGTTTAGTCAATAGACTTCTACAAACAGCCAAATAAGTCATCGGTGATCTCCCTTATAGGCTAAAGATTATAATTCTGGTCTTGTAATGTTATGTATATAAACTTCAGTTTATAAATGGGCCGCCAGGAGTAAGGTTGACATATTAAAATGGATTCAAAATAATGAAGGGAAAGCAAAACCTGAGATAAAAAACCTGAGATAAATGAGATGTCTCACTCTTTGACCAAACTGTTAAGAATGAAAAATAGAATTACCATTAAGATGAGAAATAAAAGAAATGCTATCTTCTAATGTTCACAACGCTTAAACAGGATACAAGCTACCTACTAATAGGGAACATATAAATAATTAAATCTTGAGAATAAAATAAAATACATTGCTAATCAAATCCTAACATAAAATCGAATATCTAAGATATATTATATAAATAATTATTATAATATATTATCCAAATATTATATATGATAAAAAAAATATAAATATATATATATATATCCGAGGCTTAAATATCTTTACATCATAATCGTCACTAGGTTCGTCATTTTAGTCTCATTGCCCAAAAGTTCCTCGAGATGCAGGGAAAAGGAGGGGAAAAGAAAATCATAAAAGTGGAATAAAATATGAAGGGGTGGAGTCAGAAAAGAATCACTCCAACCAAGACACGGCTTATTTTAAAAGAAAGATAAGAAACCACGTGAGCGATGCATCTAGTAGATGTCTAGGGCTTACAAACCCAAGCTAAAAGGAGAAACTATATGCTAAACTTCCCAATTCAGGAAGGCAAATATTGCGATTGGCAACCATAAACTAAGACTTGGTATTGCGTGGACTTGTATCATCCAAGTTTGACCAGCTCGCTTTTCATTAAATCTGATCTCTTAATGGAAACTTCTAGCTATGATATCCATAATACCACCTCAAGAATTGGGGCAAAAAGCATAATAGAGTATCATGACTCTACAAAACTACTGTATGAATTATGAGTGTATTGTCTCAACGTGCAGATCATCCTCAGTTCCTTGCTGTTCATTAGGTCCTTAAATGTTTCTCTGTCATTCCTTGATAGAATTGGCAACTTGTAATTTTGGCATCTGGTTATGCTCATCTCAAGGAAGGCATTGATAGTAATGACTAAAGGAACTAAATAGGAACTCCATAGCCAAAAACACGAATATCCGATCGATGCTAAAATGTTAATGAGATTAGTGTAAGAAATTGACACCTGATGGTTTATAAAAAACAAAAAGAAGCTAGCCATCATGGAGCTTAATCATCAAAAATCCCATGAGAAAAGTTCGTTGAAGCCCAAATCAAATCAAACTGAAGCCCAACGGTTCAAAAGATTATACCTCTTCAATGCCGAAGAGCAGGGCAAGGCATCATATACTGCTATGCTAACCGCCCAATAAAAAAAATAGGATTCATGCACCTGTGGTCCAGAAAATCAGAATCCAAAAATACATAGGAATAGTGAGACAGTTTGGATATCTATACGGTAGATACTTATATATCCTAGATGGTTATATCTAGTGAAGCTATATATAGTAAGCTGAATCATCTATATATCAGCTTTGAAAATGTATTCTTACTTTACATATCTATAGTCATCAATACAAAACCTTTCGTCAATATTCTCCTTACATTTTCTCTATCCTGTTCTTTGTGTTCATCTAAATCGAGTGTGTGCGTTATTGTACGATTCTAACACTTGAGAAGTGCTAGCAAAATTGAGGTTTTTGGAAAGAAGAAAAACTCCAAGAAATTGTCTTTTTAACAATCTCACTAAGAAGGCTAACGCATTACAGACTCAGTTACCTTCTAATCAATAGATGCAAAACATAGGCTATGCATGGTGATACAAGGACGACTTTCACTTATAAATAGAAAATTTCAACTCAACTTTGGGTGCAATTATAATTAAGGGGCATAAAAGTTAGTACATAAGAGATAAAAATTGATAATGTCAAAATATTAAAAGTTATCTCAAACATTAACCGCCATTTTTAAGTTAAAAGGACATAAAGTCAGGTTTTGAAGTAAAAATAAAAACTATGTTAAAATGTATATGAGATTGAAAACAAAAACTATTTTAAAATGTACTTTAATTTTCAAAACTTACCTTAAATTTTAAAAACATGTTTATCAGATAAGACCTAAATATTCAAATGATTTTCAAATGCATCCGAACTCCACATGCCTACTCATTCGTGAACAAAGACCAGCCTTCCAAATGATGTCCAGTCACCAACTTAAGTGTAGATCCTCCCTACATGATTCAGTGAACAATTTTATCTCCAAGGTTGATTCAATCCTCATAAATTTATCACTGAAAAATTAGTAAGAAGACAGGACTGGGAAATTAATCGAACTTGGTTGTTCATGCCTTGGAGATATTTGTCTACGGAGAAAGGGGGTTGCAAAGGAAAACCTACTCGAAGATGGCTAATCTAATTCTCAATAACTAAGACGGCTAAGCTAATTCTCCATCTACGTATAAACTGCTGATTAGCTAAATAATCATGAACCCGCACATTTCTCTATCTCAACCGCACACCAGAGAGACCAACGACCAGAACAAAGATTGCCCAAGAAATCGAACCTGCTGATTAGCTAGAGTCATTAACTCTACATCATTTTGAATCATTAAAATTCTTATGATCACCTTCATGTCCTTTAGAAACATCAATAAAAGATCGTCACTAGCCCAATAGAGTCAAACTCAATAATTACATAAATCCATTGTCAGAAATTTTATAGAATGTTTTTTAAAAGAAAGTAAATATTTAGATATTTTAAGAATAAATCAATAAGATCACAAATGTGTGGTCTACATTGTGTAGCCTCTGCTATATATATTATCCTCCACCAAGCTTTTCCAAGAAAAGCAAGGTGTAGTAGTATGGTAAAGAGTTTTTGTAATCTCTTATTGATTGGTTTTTGTAAAGAGTGTGAATGTTTCTGCAAAAGAGTTGTTTTCAACCCCATATCCCGGTCAAAAGAACATACGATACTATAAGTTAGACTGAATGTCATTCCAAAAAACACTCATGACTTAACGTGAAGGCATGTATGTGAAGGAATGTCCTGTTAGGAATAACGACTCTCTATAATGGTATGATATTGTCCACTTTGAGCATAAGCTCTCATGGCTTTGCTTTGGGCTTCCCAAAATGGCCTTATACTAATAGAGATGTATTCGTATTTAATAAATTCACAATCATTCCCTAAATTAGCCAATGTGGGACTCCCTCCCAACAATCCTCAACATGTCCTAAAGTGCACATGTTAGGCCTGTCTAAGGAAGAAAATCACAAGGATCGAGGAGAACTACACTTAATTTTTGGAATATTATCATTACCAACGGGTGAAGCACAAATATTGAATTTTTTATTGAATGAAAAATTCTAATTGAAAAGCATTGCAGCCCATCATTTACTGCCCTACGTCTGTTACCAGGGTAAACAGGAACAATTACAGGTGTGCAGCATGTCTAACTAAAACTATAAAACAAATAAAAAACCTAAAACTTAATAAACTAAAGAAGCTACGGGATAAGGTCACAATTGTCCAACCTATAGAACAGATCCTGTTTAAATAAGGTCGTAAGAAGCCACAGACCCCTCATCACCAACCAGTGGTTTTATCTTCCTAATAGTAGCATTTATGGATCGAAACAAATCCTTCTTAAAAGTAACAAAAGATAAATAAAACTGACACACAGGCCATGGGAAAACAAGTTCTAAATTTCTAATACAGGCATTGAGCATAATTGTAACATCCACAAATAGCACACAAATATCCAAATGAGCGCGTGAGATGTGCACAGTACAAGGTATCGGCTTGCCAACGTCCAGAAGAATTTTGGGTGGGTGCTGGCAGCAATGCATGTTTGGAATTTGAGAATAATAAATATAAAGTCGTCCATAAGATCTAGTCATTCTTATACGCTGACTGCTTAATGATTATAATTCATCATGTTTTCCAACTATTTCACCTGTCAAAAGAAATACAATAACAGAAAAGAGAGTACGCTTTTAAGGACCAAGAAACAGACGTGCCTTGTGGGAGAAGAATTGAAGAAAAGTTCCATTTTATCATTTTCTATGAGAAATATAATTTTAAAAAATCTTTATAATCTAAAAAAATGGGTTTTGTTGTAAATGGCAGATAAATCTAGCCTTTGTCCGCTCCCAACCAGTACCCTCCTCCTATCTAGAATTTACAGCTTCTGATTCTAAATGTACAACATTTATTTCTACATCAATCAATATTGCATTTTTACTTTCATTTATAGAATTTTTGATATTAACGGATTGCTGCATGTTTGCCCAAATAGATCGCAAGATTGTGTGAACACTATAAATATGACAGTAAAAAGTATTGCAGTAATAAAAAACGAAAGTAGAACGCGGACAAACAAATAATATGCATTTTATATACATGTGATAGAGGGAATAGAATTTACCAGTTTCTTCAAAGAAAAATGAGATCTCTCTATGAGCTGATTGAAGAGAATCTGAACCATGAACACAGTTTTTCTCTGAATCCAAGCCACACATTGCCCTAATGCTGAAAGCGTGCAAGAGACCATAATAAAAGCCAAAACTTAAAGTGAACTGGTAGCAAGTGAATTGACATCAGTACGGAATTTATATCTCAAACTTCTGGAGGCGAAGTGTATATAGAGACGAAGATAAAAATTTATGACCTATTAGGATGCGTAGCCTTAGCTTTCGTTGCATCTGTTGGCCCAATCATAGCACGCCAATCTGCAATGGCATTTTGTTTCTCCAAAACCATAACGCATACTGGGCCACTAATGAGCAGTGTAAGACAGAGGAAGAACACCATTATGAAAGAACTTAAACAATCGCACAATTCAAGAGAGATTTCATGTTTGTTTAAAACCTATACATATGGCTACAAAAAGATCAGATTAGAAGTCCAGATTGCTTTTAATGTCTTCTGTTATACATAGACCCATATTTTTACTAAGTTAAACGCTGAGAATATGGCTGCTCAAGGTGGAGAACCACACTGATGAACATCTGATAAGCTTGAGGTACGTATCATGAACTTCTCTATGTTGCTAATGCATAACTGAAATTACTCGAAAAGAAAGTAAGATAAATATGTTAGAAATCGTCTCCACAATGGTATGATATTGTCACTTAGAGCATAAGTTCTCGTGGCTTTGTTTTTTGTTTCTCCAAAATGCCTTATGTCAATAGAGATAATGTTCCTTACTTATAAACTCACGATTTTTCTCTTGATTAGCCAATGTGGGACTACTCATCTTAATGATATTCAATAATTCTCTCATCGAACAAAGCACACCATAGAGTCTCACCACCATAGAGCCTCCCCTGAGGCCTCCTTCTTTGGAGCTCTTGAACAACCTCCCCTTAATCGAGACTCGACTCGTTCTCTGGCGACCACGAACAAAAGTACACTCTTTGTTCGACCATTGAGTCACTTTTGACACCAAGGCTCACTACTTCTTTGTTTGACATTGGATTTTATTAGCATGGCTCTGATACCATGTTAGGAATCACGAATCTCCACAATGGTATGATATTGTTTACTTCGAGTATAAGCTCTCATGTTTTTACATTTGGTTTCCTTAAAAGGCCCCATTGGCACCTCATGCCAATGGAGATAGTGTTTCCTTATTTATAAATCCATGATCTTCCTCTTAATTAGTCAATGTGAGACTACTTCTCTTAATAGTCATCGACAAAATAGCCATCGAAGAGCACTTCCAAATTTTTCATTTCTGAGTACACACAGATGTGGTGTAATGGCTGCTAAATTGCACGAGTGACAAACATATTCACCACTTGCCAGCAAATTAATGCAGAGGAAAGCAGTTTAAATGCAGTAAAGTACTCATCAGTATTAATACACTAGTACCACGGATCATATTTAATTATGCAAATGAGTATTAGCAGAGAAAACATGACAACATTTCAAAGATTTAGTATGTACCTCGTCATGTATTTGACCAAAGAAGGAAAGAAGCTTTTCGACGAATGTTCAGCATAAAATTGACTTGCTCTATCTTCATCCAATTCAACTACTCTGTCCTTCAAAATCCTGAATCCAGACTCCACAATGGCCCTTCTGATTCTATCGGTGTAGTTACCGCGCAAGCCATCTGGTTTTATCATAGCCAATGTTTTCTCCGTTTCCATACCTCCATTACTTGCAAATCTAAAATCAGGGCTTTGATATTTTAAGAATTATTTATCGTGCAAAAGAGAAAAAGATCTTCAAGAAACGAAAAACAAGTTACCATGAGTAGAAATGTCAGAGTAAGATCAAAGTAGATTGAGACAATGAAGTAGTGTCACTTCAAATATCGCAATGTTAATATGATTGATGATAATAAGGAGAAACGGAGATTTCAATGCTCGTGACAAGATCTTCAAGACAACCAAAAAAAGTAAACTAAGTCAACTTAATGTCATTTAATTTAAATGTACAAATTAAAAAAAGAAATCAGTTCCGGAAATTGCTCAACAGAATCATCCATAGCTAAGAGTAATTTCCAACCAGGATTCTTTTTTTTTTTTTTATAATTTCCATCATTAACAATTGGATTTACGTCCGATTAGCTAAATCATCTAACACGAGTTCTCTCTAAGATACAAGAAATGATGTCAATATGTACCAAGCAAACTTGCGCTACTATCTATAATCAAACGAAAACGGTATGATTACCGATGCTGATGACAAATACTAGATTCCTCTACTCACTCCTAACCAACGAGATGATCAGAAATTTTCAAAAGGAAACATGACGCCATAGCATTACTTACATGCCAGAAAATGCAATAGAAACGAGAACGAAGAAAAATAGAAACCGCGAACCGAGCAAAACCAAACGGATCTCCATATCCTGGGGAGAAACTGCAACAACAACAATATCACTCAAAATCGCGTCAAGTTCGAAAAAAATCCATTGGATTCAGAACTTCCGAGGCCCAAGGCCGAAGAACATCGGATACTTAAAGTATTTCAGCTAAACGAACTCACAGTCAATAATTTCAACTGCTTCAGCTAGGCATACAATCCGTTTCAACAAATATTCAGTAATTTCAAGAACGCTATCTAATCCTGCGGTTCCTTCACCTCTATAACCGATTGAAAACACGTACCTGCGATTCGTCGAATCGAGATTGAGAAGCTGCAACGGAAAGAAAGACAATAGAAACTCGAGCACTTGTAGATCAGTATAATGGCGGGAAAGTATGAAGCGCTACAAAATGAGGGGCGCGGGCATTGTTTTANGGGGGGGGGGGGGGGGGAGAGAGAGAGAGAGAGGAAGAAACGGACCGGGTTTATCAAGTTAATTAAGGACACGTGGAGTGTGCTGGACTTTGATCGTCCCTGACGCTGTCTCCTTACTTGTCCTACACGTGTTAAAATTCGAAAAAAGTTTGCACGAACTTTAAATATTCTTATTTTTTCAAAATTATGTACAACTTATTTTAAAAAAATATTCTGCCCCAAATTTTTTATTTTTTAAAAATTCAACCCAATTTAATATTATAATTTGAGTTGGTTATCGATAATGTTATATATATTAACTCTAAAAACAATCCAATTAAATTTAAAAATAAAAATAAAATTACGTCATTATATTGCATTTTAATATAAAAAAATTTATAATAACGAAAGATTCTAAATGAATTGTAATATATATTTTTTAATTTTAATCTTAAATTTAATAATTTAATCTAACTATAATGTTAAAGAAAAAGACTTAATGTAGGTTTTTTTTTCAATTAAACTTAATTTTAATATTCTTGGCTTGCTTCTAATTTTAGGTGAGTTGTAATATTAACTTAAATTTTTAATCTGTAAATTGAAAAAAAAAATAGAAAGTATGAAATTGTGATTTTTTTTTTTTTTTTTTTTTTAATATGGAGTGTAAATGAATGATCATAAGGTACGTATTTTTAGCATACAAGAGATCTAATTACTAGCTACTAAAAAAAGTTATACGTCATATTAATGTATGACTTTATATTATTAAAAATGAAGAACGCTTTCTAGCATCGAGGTCATAAGCACTCTATAAATACCTTTTGAACAAATATTTTAAATTATAAACAATCCTAATAATTCGGAGGAATAAGTACTATTATTTTTCTTAAATATCATCACAAATGTGGAGCAAGAGCCTTTGGAAAGGAAATGAAAGATGCCAATATAACTAATGAGCTACTCCAAAACATACCTTCAATACGAAACACTCGTAATTACGTAAAATCCAAAAAAAAAATAAAATAAAATAAAAGAACAAACGAAAAATCTAACTTTAAGGGTCGGTTATAAAGAGTTGAGCTTTCAACCAATCGTTCCCTCTCTCGATGCAACTCGAGGAATCGAGCACACCGTTGTTTAGAAGAGTAATCAGTTAGTTTCGTGAAATTTTCTATTGCATTCTAATCTTGATTTTGGATGCGACATATATTAATATTCACCTTTAAAGGTAAAAATATAATAGTTGGGATACCAAAGTGGAAAATTCATCTTGCAAACCAACAAACCTTCCATCCTACTTATGGACTTTGTGTCTCACTTATGTTTCTCATTCTTAACAAAGTTAGATATATATGTCATTGTCCAGTTCTATGTTGTTGTCAAATCTAAAATTTAGATGAAACTAGAGCTAATTAGATGATTCAATTCCTCTCCGTGAAGGAATGATAGAGCTAAACAAAACATGACCTCAATATTTCACCTTATAAAATATGATATAAAGTAGTATTAACATTAGAAGCAATCACATTCACATAATTCAAAGCAGCAATTAAAGATCTCACAGCAGGCAAGAGCGGCGGAGAGTTGAGTAAAAGCCACGACGCACCTGTCATTCATGTACATACAAGACTTTATGAAACACATGCAACAGAACCGGTCTATCAGTCGCCCACAGCAATTTGTAGCGGCTTTCACCAACAAATCTGTTGCTTGAGTTGCCTTTATTTCCTTTCCTGGCTGCATATTCTCCGCGGTTGCGGTCAGGTTCCCAAATCCAACGCCTTGGTTCCCCAATAAAATGATCTCTTGCCCCTTCCATTCTACCTTATTCGACTTCCACATGTCCATCCTCTTACGCATCTGTTTTATATAACAAAATTAGCAATTTTCTTTGGGTAATGTAATGATTTGAAGGTAAACAAATGTCCGATTCATGGGATTTTTGAATAATTTAATCTAAATGGTGCTACCCAAAGGGAGATAGGATGTTAGGAATCACAGACCTTCCTTTAATTAGTCAACGTGGGATTCCCTCCCAACCATCATCAAGAATCTTTCTCCGGAACAAAGTACACCATATAACCTCCCTTGAAGCCTATGAAGTACTCGAACAAAGTATACCCTTTGTTCGACGACACTTAATTCATTTTTGACTGCACCTTCGAGGCTCTCAACTTCTTTGTTCGACACAAGAGAATTCTATTGACATGGCTAAGTTAATGCACGATTCTGGCTCTAATACCATGTTAGGAATCACAGACCTCCAAAATAGTATGATATTGTCCACTTTGAGCATAAGCTCTCATGACTTTACTTTTGGTTTCCTCAAAAGGTCTCGTACCAATGAACATGTATTCTTTGTTTATAAACATATGATCATTCCTTTAATTAGTCAATGTGGGGCTCCCTCCCAACGATGTTCGATTTCAGTATTCTTTAGTATTGTAATGAATATGGTCGTAAAAGAATCTCCAATGGTTATAATTTTACCAAGATTCTTGGACAGTTGAAAAAATTATTAAATGTGACTATTTGATTGACTTGCTAAGGTAGAGACCCAAAAAGCCAAAGGCTTCTAAACTCAAAACTAAGAAATATATGGTTATATCATAGTTTTGCTCATTTATCAAAAGAACTGCTAGCGATAATCTCCCAGCCGCTCAAATATTCTCCTGAAAACAAGGGCAGATTCCAGAAGTTTAGAGGGAAATCTTACCTCCTGTACGATAATGGATGGTGGAGCTTTTTTCCCTTCCTTGGTCAGCATTAGAATCAAACGTGTATACTCGGACGGAAACCCAGTTTGCTTGCTCATACAAGCAATCTGGAAGAGGCAAATCGAACAGAATTAAACCGGGATTAGATAAACTATCATAGAATCCAATTCAATCGCAAAAGCTTAAGCTAATTGCAACTTCATCCACCGTGATCATTATGGTTGACCCTATAAACAAACAGCTATAAGCCACGAACCTTATCTTCTAGGTCCTTGCTTTCCAATAACCATGCATGTGAAGTCATTATATCAATTTGTCTTCTCGCAAGCACCTGTAGTAGAAAGAACAAGAGAATGGAGGCGCCTCGTCAAAAGAGTATGCAATACAATTCTCAAGACGACGACCAATGACATATGATACAATAATTATAATACTAAAACTCTATGTTGGCGAAAGAAATCCCAAAAGCAAATTATGATTGATCATCCTATAGCAGGAAGGGAGAACCAGTACCCTATCAAGAAGCAGTTCTTTAGCTCTTTGGGATTTGAGATGGATTGCGGAATCGCTCATATCCGCTAAGATGCCACTAACTTTGAACGACTCTGGAAAACTTCCATTGTATCGGCCTGATACTATCAACGGGCTTCCAAATGCAAGGTCCGGAATTTGAGTTGGAAACAACTGCACAAGAACATTATGTTGGAAAGGAATGTCAAGATGCAGTCAGAAAATAAGAGAGTAGTGTCTGTGGAAGAAAGATCGGGACTTCAAAAGTATGACTGAAAACAGAAAGTAGTTGTTCAAGAATTGTTAACCTCAAGGGAAGCAAGATGCTTGAAAGCATGCACGGTGATGTTGGCGAGAAAGAGCGATGAGGCTTTTGTGAATAACATCTGGAACCGAGAATCAATCAAATCTGGTCAAAACAAGACGAAGAAATTAGATGGATGAACAATAAAACATAAACAGCTCTTACTCATTAAAAAAAAAAAACCTTAAAAAATGGGGCTTATTTCGTGTGATGATCTCTAAGAGTTTGGTAGTTTTTGTTTAGCTTAATGTTTAACTATACCATATTAATTAAGGTTGCTACCTCAAGTTCATTCACATCAGTCTAATGAACAACACCCTCTTATCAAAGTAAGAACCGATAGGAATTTTTACCTTAATAGTCATGGAGCCAAAAAAAAATTCCTTTCCAAACGATTTATTGCTTCCATACAAGAAAATTACGGGAGTACCACAAGAAAATGGATCATTAATATCAATGATATCATCAGTCAGAGGAAGAGATATTCACCTACATCATAAGCAGCATCGTTCACACCCCTTCCAATTTCTGATAGCATTTGTAAGAAGTAATGGTTGCAATATGTACCTGGGAAAAGCTTTAAACATCAATAAACGTAAAATTTCAGATCGAATGCAAGTAACTGTTCACATTATAGATGAGCCAAATTAATGGGAAGCAGTTAATAAAGAGCAAAAGGAAACCATAAATACCATGGATTTCTATAATCAGGTTATTCCAGTAGAATTATTATCATGTTAACCCACATTGTTTGTGAATGAAACAAATGTTGTCGTCTTTTCCCCCCAAATTATTGTGTATGCTAAAATCAAAATAGTCTAGTCAGTTCAATAGTCATAGGGCCCTGCCTTGAGTGTCCTAAAACGAGATCAATAATTGAAGCAATATAGCCTTCGATTTCATTCACATTTTGTGGGTCCTCTCAGACACTATTTCAGGAAGCGAACTCGTTTTCTTCAAGGATTTGAACTTAAGCAGAATTTAAACAATTGTTTTTATTTAAATGTTTTTACTCAGGACATCAAGTATTTCTTGAAAGAACAGTAAGGCAAGGTCTTACCAATACCAAAAGTACATAAACGAGGAGAGATCGTCTTTCCACTCTTCAAAGAAGCTTTCACAAGATTACATATTTCTCTCTCATTATTAACAGAGCCGTCTGTAATGAGAAAAATGAGGGGAATTGAATTTCCAGTTTCAGCCAACATCTTTATAGCCTGCAATAAAATAACACTGTGAACCAAAAACCTCTATGAAGATGACCAAATGAAAAGGGTTAACACACCTTAATTGCTAACTAAACACAATGGAAGGTAATGTAGTTAAGGCTTATGGGCCAAGGTTACCTGTTCCACGGGAAGCAGGATGTTAGTGCCACCATTAGCTACTAGATTAGTGTCAATCCATTCTGTTGCTCTAGTAATTGCTTCGTTTGTTGCTAGCTCCATCGATGATGAAAATAATTTAGTGTCTCCATTGAACGCTATAATGTTAAATGTATCTTCATGATTCAACTTTGAAATT